CGGTCCCTGATGCTTTTGCTAAGCTTGTTCTAAGTAGGTGCTTTAGACCACTGAGCCATCTCTCCAGCCCCATGTTTCCCTTTACAGGAAGCATGTATAGCATACATAAAAAATATGTTATAAATGATTGCATTTTCATTGAAAATTTCTGTGAAGGACAGACATATTTTGGTCCAGCGAAGCCTAACAGAATTTTCTATGAGGATGGATATGCTATGCTCTATATCTTCACTCTCCTAGAGGTAGTCACTACCATATGTGCTTACTGAGCATTGGAAATGAGGCTAGTGTGATGAAGGAACTGAATTCGGAAAGCTATTTAATCTTAACTGGCTTACACCCAAATTTAAAAAGCCACCCGTACCTAGTGGCTACCATAACGAACAGGACAATTTTAGTCTACTAAAGGCACCACACCCGATTTTCTCCATGAATTTACATTTTGTTTTAGATTTGTTCATAAGTTTTTATAATTTTGGTATTGAATTTGGTATCTTTTCACAGTTTATATCTTCGGGAGTGGCAAGATAGCTCAGCGGGACTAAAGCACCTGCACAGGCAAGCTGAGGAAGGCGCAGGGACCATGGTTCCATTTCTAGCACCTCATGTCCTACCAGCCCCACCCCCAGGGAAGGCTGAGCCTGCCACAAAGCCCAGGAGGCCATAGTGGCAAACGCCTATAATCCCAGCACTGGGGAGGCTGAAAGCAGGGGGATCACCATGAGTCTGAGCTGCATAATGAGACCCTGTAACAACCAAAAACATTTTTAAAAAAGTTTATGTCTTCTATATTTGTTAGATACATATAGAAATGGAATTGATTTTTATTAATCACTTTATATCTGGCCACCTTTTTGTCTTTTTGAGAAAGGGTCTTGCTATGGAGGGTAGGCTGGCCTTGCGCTCATGGCAGTCCGCCTGCCTTGGCCTCCCGAGTGCTAGAATTACAGTATGCATTACCACGTCAGCTACATCTAGCCATCTTGATAAAATCTTTTAATAACAATTTTTGTGTAACGATTTGGATTTTCTAAGCATATTATCTGTTATTAGTATATCTTTGCTTCTCCTTTTGCAATTGTCATGTATTTTGTCTTTTACTTCTGTACGCTAGGCGCTCCTATGCATATTGAAGAAAGTAGTTGCAGTAGACTTTGTTTTACTCCTTTTATTTATTTTTATTTTTATTTTATTATTTTTTTTGTGGTACCAGAAATTGAACTCAAAACCTGTGCTTGCCAGGGAAGCACTTATGTTTTACTTCTTTTAAAGTACATAAAAATACATTGATTCTTTATATACCTGACCAATGACAGAAACACACATCACATTTTTTATTATTTAAATATGACATTTAATGGTCAAATTGCCTGCCATTGAGGGCTATGTTTTTCCTTGTATGTGAACAGTATACTTAACTGAAATTTAATATTTATTTGTTTCGAGGCAGGATCTTGCTATGTTGTGCAGGCTGGCCTCCTTGGGCTCCAGTGGTCCTTTTGGTGCAGTCTCCTGAGTAGCTAGGAACATAGGTGTGTGTCACCAAGCCCAGCTCTTTACCTGTGGGGCCCCTGAGTCTGGGACCCACTCACTTGCAGCTGAGATGCCAGCAATGTTTCCTTCAGACTCAAGTCTGTAAAGTTGTGCTAAGACCCAGTGCTGACTGTTATAAGTGGGCATCATATAAAGCAAGGGATCATTAATGCATAACAACTGACCTCTCTTCCAGGAATAACACATTGGTGTTCACAGAACATAAAGATGAAAATCTTACTTAGATGAAAGGAGTCCAAACTAGGTCAATTCTTGTATGTTTTCACTAATAAATTTATGAAGCAAGAAAGAGAGGATGGTTTATTCAATTTGTGCCAGCTTATGGCCCCACATTGACACATCATACTCTTGTAGGAAAAATAGGAAAAAAAATGAATAGGGGAAGAGACCAGAACATACTAGCATTCTTAAATGTCAACTGACTAGTATCCTCTTCACAGATGTTAACTAGAAACTGCACACCGAGAATGTTTGAGTGCATTCTTACATTTGGGGCCAGCCTAGGAATCCTCACCTGGAGGACCTTCCTAAAACCTTTTGAAAGCTCTTTGATGTCTCAAGGCTCACTTTATGTCACGATGCAATAATTCTACAAATGTACTTGGGAAGTGCTCGATTTGGCAGCACATATACTAAAATTGGAACAAATGTACTTGTGAATATCTGGTTAGTATTAGCAGTTGCACCATTAAATTCCTATTTCACATTGCTTGACAGTTATGACATAGGATATGCGGGGTGCATTTTCCCTAATGACCCTGTGGACTGAATGTATGACATTACATTTTTTTCTACTGGAAAATTTAATGTTCATATAGGATTTATTGCGCAGTTTTAATTATGTGTTTTAAGACAAGAAAGGGAATGTATTTTCCTCTTCCCTAGTTTTCAAGATTTGTATTTTATAAACTTTTACTCATAATTCTTCAGAAAACTCTTCTGTGCAGTTAAAAAGTTTTGTATTTCCTTTTGTAAGAAAAATCCGTGTAAGCTCAAACTAGAGCTCAATATTATGTGCTTCATTTTCAAAATTATTATTTTGTATTTGTGAGAAAGTTTTTTAGGCCAACCTTCCTGTTGCTGAGGTCATTTATTTAAAGGTTACTCCCTGAAGAGAAAGAGATTATGTGAATTAACGTGGGCATCAAAATCATGAAAGGTGAGCTCCTTTTTTTGCAAAATAAACTCAGTCTACCCCATAAAATATATTGAGGGGTCATGAAGGATCCCTCCTGCCTTCAGGGTCTTGTTGTCTCTCATGTGCTCAATGCCACGTATGAAACAATGACAGCTCCTCCAATACCAACTTGGCCACTACTGTTTTATATTTAGAGATGACAAAGGCAGCATGTTATGTGATTAAAGGAAAAACTTAAAAACCTAATTATAAAAATGCCGGGTATTTCACAATATCACAACTGTATTCATGTTTCACCTTCCTGCGTATTCTCTCAGCGCGTTTGCACATTCGTTTTTAGCAATGTACTAATATTCTGTGATTGTGCTCATGAGATCTATTTCCATTTTAAATGAACAATGAAATCTGTTACTGTATTTCGTGTGTGCTGTCACCGGAACATTGGCAGGAGAGCACAAGAAGCAGCCTAGAGGAAGGAAAACGGCAATTTAGCAGAGAGGGATGGGGGCCACCAAACCTCCATATCCAGGCCCCGCCTCCCACCCTGGGCTTTCCCCCGGCTCAGCTTTCCGCAGGGCTCTTCTGGGCGCCTGCTTTTCTATCCCTCGTCTTCCCGCCCCCTCCTCAGGGCCCTCCCATCCCCTCTAGGCTCCGCCCCGCGCGGTCGCCATGTTGTTCCCTCCTCCCAGGACAGGGTAGCTGGAGCTGGAGCCTGAGCGGACCTGCGCCGCCCCCTCCGCCTCCCGCGCTCGCTGGATCACCGACCCTCGCTGCGTCTTCTCTGCAGCCCGCCGAACCGGAGCAAAGCTTGCGGGCGACCTCCGTGTGGCCGTCAGGTGAGCGGGGCTCAGGATGCCTCTGGGGACCTGGGGGCACTGGGGAGGTGGCGCGCTGGCCCTGGGTCGCTGGGGCGCGGGACGCGTGGATTTGCAATCTCGCTCCGAAAGAGGGCCAGCTTGTTGGCCCACTGTCTCGTACTGACCTACTACGCAGGAGGAAAGACGGCCTTGTAACCAGTGAGAGGGACACATACACGCGCGCACGCGCGTACACACACACACACACACACACACACATCGGGGAAAGAGAACAAAACCCCAAATACTGGAGAAGATGGATTGGGAGGGAGAAGCACACAGGGACGAATACACGCAGTCACCTGAGTCCACACATAGACACCCTTCTTTCCCTAACCCCACGGGGCCACCGACACCAACCCTGCGCCCCAATGACTCATGCAGGGAAAGCAAAGGGCTCGTACTGTTTGCTTTTGGCGACCTCTGACTTCCTACCCAGCTGAAGGTTTGCTTAAATGAGAGGAGCTCGCAGGTGAGGAGCTTGGAATGCGCAGCCACGACTAGGGGCTGCGGGCCTTCCAGGCCATTATCTGATTCAGAGTCTGGCGGAGGTTTCAGAGCTGCATTCCTTTCTTCCTTCCTTCCAAGTTAGTAAACAGGCAAGCTGAGAATGTTAAGTGCTGACCAAATGGCGATGCTTGGTGGAGGTATTGTGTTTTTCTTTTTCCTTTTTTAAATGATGACACATCCCGTGACCACAGTTCTTTTAAGGAATAACTTTGCTTCAGGTTTCCCAATTGGCACGTGACTATAGTCTTTTCATAGGATTTCGGTGTCCTTATAAAATCAGTGGACCAAGCTGGATTGTTTCTTGACGTTTTGCCTGTTTATCTCTGGCACCATAGTCATGGAAAATCCCTACAAGGCCTGTAATCGCAAAAGCTGCCCAGTGGAGCAAAGCTAGAGCTGAAAGAAACCCATAACTGTTCAATTTGGAACTTTTAAAAAGCTTGCTTTTAGTCTCTTCCAGACGTTTATGTTCACGTTAGCAGCACTCCTTGTATAGAGTTCCCAATGGCTTTTTTAAAGTTCCAGATCTGGGGTTTTTAGTCTTTTCCCGTACGTTGTAGTAAATTGCTCTCATAATAGAAAAATATTCTGGTTTGGAGACTTGCGATTTGGAGGTATTTTCGATTTGTTACATATTTGGGAGGTTACAGTAAGGTGGGCAAAGACTTAATAGAACATCCGGGTTCTTGGAAACTAAGGGATACATATTTGGTGCCAGTCGCTTTTTACCAGCCCCTCTCCCTCTCCCTCTCCCTCTCCCTCTCCCT